GGTGAGTTTCGGTCCAAACTCTAGGATAGCGTAAGTTCCGTTACAGGCAAATTAGTTCTTTTTTTTTCAAAGAAAACCGCATTTCCACCAAAGTAATGTTTGTTTCAGTGCTTCAAAAGGGCTAAACCGACTGGATGTACATAGGTATCCGACCTAAGCACTGAAAATCCGCAGATATCGGTACTGTCTGGAAGCGGTGAGTTCAAAATTTGAATAAAAACCGGAAGACCGGAATACCCTTTACCCGCCAATGGAATGATTCTCGCGTCGTGATTTGACCAAAGCTGCTTCTAACACGTCAGTCAACGAGAGGGCACCTGTTTCCGACCCGATCATGTTCCTCCTGAGTGGGGCGGGGGAAGGATGAAACAGCTGAGGGGGTGAAGGGTTGAACATGGCCTCCCGGAACAGGTGACACGCGTGTGCAACGCATTATCGTGGTCGGTGGTTTCTTTTCGCAGCTGTTCAGCCCACTTTGGTAGGCAACGCGGCAACGACTTTCGCCAGTTCTGCAATTGCCACCAGCCGCGGTCTCGTCGCTGTGGTTGCGAGAGAACGCGGGCGATTTGTGTTTGGGATGGGGACCATCGGTTAATGGCTGAAGACAGAAAGCTGCTTCATTTCATCCGCATCATGGCGTGAGCGTGTTTTTTACTCAAGTTAAACCACTTATCTTACGAATTAACCAATGAAAATGAAAAAAAGCCTTGGGACCGGAAGATTGCACTCATTGCTCTCATCTTATCGATTCATCTGAGACCGCTAAACCAATCAACAGACACTTTGCAGCGCAAAATGATTGGTTGACTCTGAAGGCACGATAATCCTGACGCTTGTAGATTTAAAAATTGTTTCTAAATGTAGTATAAGGCATTGCCAACTGGACACTTGGGTTGTACAATCGTGTTCTCATACCGACCACTTGCCCGCAGCCCATTGGCTCAAATTCAAGTGCCCTCAAGGTCATATTTGCACTCCTTAACTGGCTTGTTTATGGTGTGGCCAATAAGAGCGGATGTCTTGGGGTTGATGATTGCCGTCTCGAACGTGAATCGCTCCCCACACGTTGGATTATTAAAGCATGAATTTAGAGTGGAATGTGTGACGCATTTCCGCCGTCTGAACTTCTAGACATGCTGTCTTGAAGTCCAACTGCATTCCGACACGAACCAATCATGTGAGAAAAAATTAGTCCAAGTACAACGGACACAGGAATGAGGTGTCACCGAGGGCCCTTGTGCGTATCGACCTTTGGAAGAGTTGGCGTTTGCTCCAAAATAATACCATCGTGGATCTCAGTTAAGGGCTTACAAAACGCTCTCATTGGGCGGAATTGTTCGCCGTCGATAGTAATCAGATGCGACAAGCAAGTCGCCATTACTGATTTGAGTAATGACAACTACGACAGGGCCAATCCTTTCGAATTCGTGAGACGGGTTTTCGTGAAAGACAGCGTCAGTGTCCAATTCCAGCTGAATTCGCTGACAAAAACGTCGTCTCTGAAAGTTTGAAATGTCAATTCTGAAAGGCTTTTTATTTATCTTGCGTTAAAGATGTCACCGAGTGATTTCAGATATGCTGCCTTGTAGAACAGAAATTGCTAGAAAAATCAGCTCCACCGGCCAATGACGTGTGTGGCAGATTGGCGGAATATTTGACGACACCATACCGACCAATAACGTTGTCTTCTCAAACACCTCCAAATTAGTCTTGTTGGGAGTTGTGCTCAAAATTATGCTGTGAGTTCGTAGCAGATTAATAGCGATCGCGCCTGAGTGAACCCTGTTTACTGACCTGACGGTGACAATGACTCACCCCCTTTTCATTGGTTACTTTTATCAGGCGCCTGTCATCCGTTCACTCATCCACACACTTGATTGGCGTGACGCTAACAAACAGTCGTGTCCTCTGTCGCCCCTTGTTCAAATCTTCTTGGGTTGTTATGGGCTGTTAACGAGAGGGTTGTAAGGTAGTGCGATAACTCAAGCTACTACAGGTTCAACAATTCCCGACAGCCACAACGCGTCCCCACTTTATCTGGATCCAAGGTGATAGGCTTTATTAAACCATAAAAGACCCCAAATTAACTAGTTCCATTCACCTGTCACCTCGCCATTGAAACTCGACGGGCCAATGAACTGCAGATGAGCGCGTGGCGGGTCCCGGTGCGGTTTTGGAAACCACACCAGGGCCGGCGATATACACTGCCAAGGCCCGACCGAAAGAGGGAGTCAGAAAATGCAGATGACGCGTAGCTCAACTAATTTATTGATGCAGTAGCGGTGGGTGTTTGTACAGGGTAGCAGGTGCGTTTATACGGCTCTGCTAAGTATCGATCTCTTAGCGCACGCAGCTGCGTGAAGTGCATTCACGAAATAATCGATTTATTTGTGTTTGCTCACGACTGCTAGCCGTGCTCGTCCGCTGCTCGCCACAAGCACAAGCCACAAGCACCTACAAAAATAATCCTCTGCATGAATGAATTGGCCAATCAAAAACCGTGCGCGCACTTGATTGATCCAATCAAGTAATGGCGATGGTGCGAGTTTAATGTAAGCCATGTTAATTTGACTAGAATGTTCTTGGAAAGTAGCTCGCAGATTGATTGATTTTTGTAGCTCTGATCAAAGCCCATTTAAATGCCGCTCAAGTGGAGAGTGTGAATATAGCGCTGCAAAGATCTTGTTCAGACAATTTAAGTTGAGCCAAGATTGCAGGAGACAAGACGTTCAACAAACACGGAACAAGTGTATCGTGTTGATTCGACAATCTTAGCACTTGGTTGCAATGAGAGACACCTCACACCCAAATTGAACGTCTGAAACCGCACACAACCCCTTCCAAAACAAAACATCCCACCACCGAATTGGATGACGGTGTTGTTGACGTCGAAGTCAAGCCGATGTCCGCACGCCGTGATTAAGCACGTCCATCATCCCGCGCTGACGCCAATGCCCCGTCTGTGGAGGTGAGGACGGGTTTGAGCACGTCGGCGACTCAAAAAACAGTGAACTCAGACACAACACCAGCCTCTGCTCTACACCTGACTCAACTCGATATCACGCCCTCCACCACCGCCACCTACGAACCGGATTCGTCTAATGCGATTGGATTCGGACGAAAGCACGACAATTTGTCATCAAGTCAGGGGTTCAGCCAACGTCCCATTAGCGAGCACAAGCTGCGACAGATGCCAACAGTTGGTGTCTGAGAGGTGACGCACACACGTTTACGCGCTACAAAAGTGCACAGATGACGTCATTGTTGAGCGACAGTCAGGGGACAGTTGAGACGGAAGAGGACTAGCGTTTTAGTAATTCGATTTAACTAACACCGAGAATTCTGATGTAGCCTATGAGGTCTTGGCATTGGTCGTCCATCGATTCAAATTCACCGCCGAATTCTGCTTTAAATTTATTTTATATTGTGCGCGTATTCCAAAAATTACGGGCTTCATCCAGCAACATGACCTTCAGCGAATCGATTGAAACAAATGTGAACAGACGCGGACAATCTACCAACCTCGATGGAGCATACGACCGTTCTTATTGTCCAAATTGCAAAAACCGGCGTTTTTGCAAATCTGGACGATCAACCCAACCAACCAAGCATGACAACTACGCAATGAGTTACTGCGCATGCGTAATACACCCACTGAGAGCATTTTAAATCCCTAATCACCTTGACAAACACCCTGACATCAATATCAGTAAAACTGTTGCTATTTTCTAATACAGGCAAACAGCAAAAGACATTCGGAAAAAATGTCCAGTCGAAATTCTTGAGGAGGTGAGTGTCATAATGAAATTGAGTTCTTCAGTGACGAAGAAAAAAACTTGCAAAATTGAAGGTTTCAAGATGTAATATTTTAAAAATAGCTCCACAATCGACCCGGGGGTCACCGAGGCAAGACTGCATGCAAACACCTCCGCTGTGCGTAAAGTCCTTAAGTAGTTAAACTAATCTGGAAAAAGAGAAAGCTGGTCCGGTCAATGCACCAATTAAAAAACGGGGAAGCAAAAGAAGGCGCAGAAAGGCGTTCCATGATTGGCGGACGTTGAGAACAGGGGGCTGCTGTAATTGAGGTGGCGACTTCACGTTCCCTTCCACAGGAGGGGGAAGGACACGGCTAGGGGTAGAGATGTAAGAAGAATGGTGAGTGGCAAGTGAGTAAGACTACAAAACACCTACTCAATCGATATAAGTAGTTGGTTTTATTAAAATGGAATTGGCGAACGCATTTGGATGGTGAAGACGTCGTGCAACAAGAATTGGGAGCTAGAGCGCGAAAAAAATGGGCAGTCAACGCATGACCTGAATACCAGCTAATCATATCGCTTGGACAAGGACATCTATGACCACTCTGGTACTAGAAATGTGGGTACCTTTTGCGAGCATCCGAATGGGCTTTTAGTACCTCGGAGGTACAGTTTGCAGAGCTTCGAAAGGACTCTTCACTTCGTCAGGGTTCTGGAAGACAATGGTTAGTTAGAAAAAGAATAAACACCAAATTAACTTGATCAGAGAATGAACGAAAGTGTTCGTGTGTATGTGTGTGACTGATTTTGGTTCCCCTTGATTAGCTGCTACAAGCTGAGGCTTAAAAATGTGAGGTAGTGAAGCGCGCGAGCGATTCTACAGGCGCGTCACGGTGAACTACACAATTTGAAAATCAAACACGAAACGCCTACTGACGGATTGTAAGTAGTAAGACAACTGAGGAGCAAGCAGACTAGAGGCTGTGAGGCCTAGTTGTGACGACACGAATAAAAAAGGAGCGCGTATGGAGCGATTTGACAATCAGAGATGGAGGGTTAGCGACGCCGTACACTTACGTCAGATGAGTCGTCCTAGTTAGTTGTTAAAGGCAAGTGAAGACATGTGAACACGCGCACGCACACAGAAGCAAGGGCAAAAGTACACGGACAATCACGTTGTACAAAATGTTCCAATTTAAGGGGCAAGTGGGGCTTGCTTTAATTAGGCGCTTATGATTCCTGCTAACGGCATCTGCTAGATCCACAAACGTGGACAACACGAAACCAGCCAATGGAAAAACAGCAGGCGCTACTTTGGATTGGTTGATGCAGTTTCGCGGGGGGAGGGCGACCTACCACGGGCTTGTCGCGATGTGTGTCCACGGCGTCCACGTCCAATTTGACCGTTTCCACGATACACCGGTAGGCTGTGGGGGTCAGTTTGAACACCGTGTGAAGGGGAACACGGATGTAGGGCAGTTCAACTAAATGCGGCAGAGATAGGGAAATAAGCTAACAACTCATCCACTCCCAAACACATCCTCTATCCGCACGGTATTTTAGGTCAACATTTTGATTGGTCAGCCAGCGACAAGGTCGTTTTCAGCCTGTCAAGCCATGAACATTAGTTATCGCCAGATGCTGTTCCACTGCAAGTAAAAACCATAGTTTAGAGCTTTCGAAAAATTGACCTGTTTGCACGGGATTAGGATTGTCCGTTAGCTACGCAAATTTGGAGCTCCGATGCTACCAGTACTGCCCAACAGCTAGAATCTCAATGGAATACAAATACAATTTCTCATGTACTAATGGTGATTTTTTCGTTTCTCGTGGGTTAGGGTTGGATGTCTGAGGGCAGGAAGTATACGTAACCGGGCATTTGGGTCGTTGAATTTTCGCAGCCACGTGAACACGCGATCATATCGACCGCCCACATTCCATTGGCTCGACCAAGAGCACATTTCTGATTGGCCGTGGAATGAGGCAGAGAAGCTTGGGGCCTCGGAGACCGGTGAAGGTAACACCTGACATTGATGGCCAGCGTTTGGTGTGGGCAACATCCTTGTTCGTCCGGGTTTTAACCATCGCTGTCTTGAACGTGGATCCACGTGTTCGTCCGTCGCAAAAACGAAATTAGCGCTCATGCGCTTATTAAACCACTACTGGATATTGAATTGCGTCTATGGAGGTACTGCAAAGCACTGAACGTCTAGCTGCGCTACATCATATCATCCGTTTAGCCTTACATTCCACAGACCTCTGATTGTAGCCTAGCAGTTAACAGCGACTCAGGTTAGGCCTAAAACGACATTAGCTGGAAATGAGAACAGGGGAGCCGCCGTGTTCCAGTGGAAGGACCCAACCAATCACCTAACAAGAAGGGTTCAATAACAGGACCTGCCTTTGTCCATCTCGGTGAAGTAGGCAAGCAGGCATCGCGCCACGGCCTGATGGCAGATGACGAGGACGTGGTGCTGACGCTCCAACTCCATGATTACCGGCTCCAGCCGCGCGACCAGGTCTTCGTAGGACTGCAAGGAATGCGACATGGGTGGAATCCAGGCCAATCGACCTCCTCCACACATAACGAAGACGGAGTTAACTCACCTCGCCCATGGGATAGCGGTAGTGGAACTTGTCCATGTCTCGACGCGCGAAGTCGAAGGGATACTTCTTCTGAATCTCCTCGTAGGTCATGCCCTCGCACACTCCCTAGAAGGTGGTGCAATCAGCAAAAAGCCAATGAGAAACGACTACGACTGGGAGGGAATGAGCGCATTACGGCAGGTGCCAATGTTGGACCTGGGAGTCAAAGAACCCATTCAAAAGACGCCAGCAGGAAGAGACCTGTTGGGCTGCAGTTAGCGTGGATTTACTTGCTTGCCATTTCCTCCTCCGCCAATCAGATGGATTTCTGGCGTTGGTAACAAACAACGAGAAGCTATAAATAGTTCCTTTTGGGCAAAACACGAATTTGCCTTCACGTGAGGCACGTCAAACTTATCAGGAGAATCTTGCAATAAGAGGGATAAGAGTGAATTAGTGTTGTGAAAGATTGCATTTTTCACGACCAATGACGACTTGCTGAGAGTTACGTGATGCATTTAGCAATTGACCAATCAGAACGCACGCCATCAATGTGCGAAAATTCTCCACAACAAGGCACTTAACTCGAGCCTGACGCGTTCGCTCTGATTAGCAACCAACACCGTGAACTGCACACGTCAGGTCGTGATGACAGGGACTAGCCCGATACCACTTGCCTGAGACAAATTTTACCGTAAAAAAGGGCATACTGCTTATGGCACTAACAGCGTCGAGTTCGTCGAGGGCCTTCCAGTGGTCGAGGCGGGAGCACTTGATCAGTTCCCCGGTCTCGATGGTTCGGCGCATGTGGCTGGTCCACACCTTCAGGTCGTCCAGACCCTCGTTCTCCATGAACTTGCCCAGCTTCTGCGCGAACTACAGACGACAAAACAGGTGAGGTGAAGGGGGGAGTCAAATCGCTCGTGCTTGTTTTACTAGTAAAGAGAACCTTCTCAGCCCCAAGATCAGGCCGGCGGGCGGTTGGAACATTTAAAGCATGGAATGAACCAATCACGTGGGGACACACTAACGACTCATCGTCCTCAAATCGCCCAGGCATCTGAACATCCACACGATCGCCGTTTTAGCGTTAGTCTTGTCTTATTCACGTTTTGCAACTATTGTCATCGGGAATCGCAACTACACCCACGTACCCGACACACGAGGTGTGTAAGCCGTAGGCACGAGTTGGTTAAACCGGTGTCGACAGTCAATTGTGGACACTCAAAGACACCAAGACGATGCCTGGATGATCTTTGGAATTCTGGAAATGGCCTTTTTAAGAAGAAGGCCTATCACCTGATCCGTATTTATTTGTCCCCTGTAATCAATCACTAACGCTTGTTTCACAAACCTTGCAATTTGGTGCCATCGCTTATAACCTGGCATAAAAGCGTCGCCAAAGTGCTAATTTAACCAACCTGTGCGGGTAAATCAAATTACTAGTAGTTAAGCACCCACGTCACTTACTGGTGGTCACTGCTTGGCGTCGTGATTCCACTGACGCGGATGCCTGTTGATTTAATTAGCCAAACACGGCAAAACAAAATGCAAATTGAAGCTAAGTGAAATTGCGACGAATTAGGGCGTAGAAGGTAGGCACTAAAACGGTTCACACAGGACCGCGCATGTGAGGTCGCATCAAGGTCACATCTGGTGTGTCTGCAGGGACAAACGACCAATTGACATGTTCATTTACCCTGTTTAAATAAACTAAAATTTGCTGTTTTGGGGATGTGGCTAGACCTTGAGCTGCCACCTGGATGATTGTGTGATTTTAATCATCGACGTGTACGCCCAAATGAGGGGCATTCTTAGAAGCCCACCCAAGCCGGTAAATCCGTTTCGCATCATTCCGAAGAACCGACTTTTTTTTTCATAGCACCAAAAAGTACGGAGTAATTAGGGCGTGTGCAGTGTGCGTAAACATCGACCTTCAGCGATTTGCGTCGAGGTGATCCACAACCTCGATGCAAATCGGATCAGGCGTTGTTGGCGGTTGAGTTTTCATCGGTTCTCGAAGTTTTGGAGGGGTAACTTGGCGACCTCAGTCTAAGTTCGAGCCACCGTATCGTGGCAAACAACGAATTTGACAGGACAAACACGCATGCATGGTTTTTTGTACTTGTGAGCCCCAAGCACATAACCGTCATCAGCCGAAACAACCGCTTGGAGTGAAGCTTACGAAGCAAACATACATCACTAATTTAGCCCCAGAGTTGACGCAAATCCAGGAATTTGTGCCTCGCTTTCAAACTTGATTCTCGAATTCTTAATTTGCGGCTATCCATGTGATAGCCCAGCCACAAAAGGCAGGTTAGATATTAAAATTCTACCCCGTTACGGCAATATTCTGACAAGTGGCGTCGTTGAGTGCAACTACCGAGACGAGTACTGCACAACTACCTTACAAAACACAAACGAGAGCTCACTTTGATGGTTCTTTTTTGGGTGTGTCCATTTGGGGTGAGAGCCTCAATAAAAAACCACAGAGCTCACGTGATGAGGACACATCTGGCCTCGATTATCATTATTCCGGTTTTACCATTTGAAAAAAAACAACGCATTTCCAACTTACCAGCTTGCCGCGACTCGAGAGAGGAGGGTCGCCGCCTAATTGGCCTCGCAAATTGTACTCACTTTCACCGTGCTGCAGGAGAGAAAAAATTTCCCTTTTTTAAAAAACTGAATTAGGGTTTGAGGCACGCAACGGCACCCCCTAGTTAGCACCGTGACCCCAGGCGCTGTGACAGCACATGCAGCCATCACATGACGACAATTACAACCACAAACGAGCTAAGATGGCGGTTGAAGGGCAATGCATTACTTTGGCACTCAAATTGGGCTGTGTGGTGTGGCGGGTGAATGGCATTTTAACCGTCCTAGTGAGTAGAGAGTGGCCTTACCCTGACCAGGTAGATTGTGCGCTTGCCGACATTTATGTTCATGAGGTAATAGACTATCCGGCTGCTTACGTTGCCTTGAGAGAAGAAAAAAAGCCACAAAACAAGAGTTGGAATTTAAAATTAAAAAAAAAGAGAATTGAAGAGAACTCCACGCTACTTGCCAGGGACTCAGAAGGGAAGAAGCTGAAGGTACACGGGGTGGGGGGCGGTAAAGACGTGCAGAAGCAAGTTAACATGCCGATCAAAGGTATTTTGGCCATGTTCACCAAGACTGCCAGTTTAGGCCCACAAGTGGCGTGGAAATGTGGTTCATTAAGAAATTATGAATTAATTATGCAGAATCGGGTAGTGGGGCATTAACGCATGTCGGAGATTAGATATTACGATGAGAACTGGCGCTAACTCCAGTGACCACGGTATCACTGTTCAAGAACACGGATTACAGTTCGCTGATCACTGAGTTGAAAAAGACGCATGCTCGGTTTGTTTGATTTAAATTATACAATTTTGCGTGTGTTTGGCAAAGCACTGAAATCCGGTTTTTTTCTTTCGAAATTCTGTTTTTTCCCCATTTTGGCACCAGAAAAACGGGGTGCCTATCTGCATCACTAGTCTTCTGCGTTCGATCGTGGTGCAGAGGCCGTAAGATATTCACAAGAGGAGCGCCGATCCTGGGCTAACGCTGCTGCATGCAAAGCGCGATCAGATCGCCGTTGCCGCAAAAAATGTACAAAGCCCAAGTTACCGGGGGAAGGCAGCTAAATCTATTAGAGAAAGTGGAAGCGCACATTGAAGTCACCATGAAAGACATTGCTTGACTTGTCACCTGATTAATTAAGAGTCCGTGGGTTTCGGAAATAGTTAGCAACAAACATGGAAAACTATGAAATTATACAAAACGCCGAGGAGTCATAAGAACCACATCAAACTACAAATTCGGGTAGTTAGTACCAAGAAACGGTAAACCCTAATACTATAGTAGTTATACACATGAAACAAACGCACCCGCTATCCGGTTTGCCAGGTATCGCTGACCCTGATTAAATATTTTGATGTAAGGAAGCTCTTTATCGATGTCGTCATCAATTGGCTCATAGCGTGCGGCGTAGTGTTCGATTCGTTTGAGGAAATCTTGTAATGCAAAATCTTTATCCACGCCGATGTAATCCGGACTGTTGACCTTTACTTCCTGAAACAAAAGAAACCAAACCATAGATGAAACATGGGCATACCACCTTATGTATAGACAATATTAAATCCATATTCATTTCAAGAGAAAGTACAGTACAATTTTACAAAATAGGAGAATACTAGAGAAAAATCTCACCAGAATGCTTGCTTGGATAACATCTTGATTATCGCAAATAGACTCAACGAAGATTACTTTAAACTTGTGCTTTTGACAGTGTTCATAAATCATTTCACGCCGCTTTCGAGTGGTGTTGGTAGCATCGAAAACGGCAATTTCACCATCATTCTCCAACCACTCAGTGAGATCACACAACGCATCTTGAGCGGCTTTCCTGCAAATAAAAAATTTCGCTACATAGGCAAAGCGCTTCAACGGCGATATAATTGGCTTCTCAAACCTACATTCGAATATTTGCGGCCTCGGTGTTTGTATCGTCAAAGAAATCGTGTGAATTAATGCAAGTTGCCCTTCTACGATAATCGCCAACGTTAAATACTGAAGATGCGAAAAAAGCTTTATTCAACTTACCCCGTGTGTTGATACCTATCCAATTCAGATAGCGTGTGAGCCTTCGAGACATGTAGGTTTTACCACGAGCAGGTAGACCAACAAGCACAATAATTGTGCGATCATCAGCGGTGCATAAGGCTTAAACGTGCGATAGCAATATTAGCTTACTTCTGTTCGAAAGAGGAGCAAAGAGCAAGGAGACACGTCTGTCTAGCGCCATCACATTAAGCTTTCCGAGCCAAGAAAGCAATTGACCAAAAAGGTTACTTTGATTCTCAAATAAGCTTACCCAATCACAAAATTAATAGAATACTCAGCTGCCATTGGCTCAAAAAAAAAACAATATTTTAACTAAATAAAAGTCGCATAAAAAAATCGGAGAAAAGCTCCTTAATTTCTTCTGGGCAAGTGCTTATAGCCGCCACATTGTTTTCATCATTAAAATTAAGTCTACTTAATTATAATCCAGGATATGCTTAAAATATTTCACAGTTTTCAGTTAGTGCGAAAACGTTAGCAGCTTCAGAAACACAAGAAAACCATCATTTAAAAAAAACAGTGCAACTATATTTACATTTTGAAACAATAGCACAGGCTTTAGCTTTTGCCAGATAAACTAAAACCACAAGCATGTATATTTAGTATTAAGGCACCAAATTGTATCTTACTCATCAACGTTTACTTAAAAAAATTTACATTTCCCCATCAGGTAACAATTTTACGTACAAAACATATAAGAAGGCGGCTGTTCAAAATTTTACATATATTCAATCATAATCTTTTAACCATCTCTCAAGTGGAATGTGAATAGATCTCATTACCCAGATTGTAATACTAATTCTCAAAAACCTTAATGCATCAAATTAGAATAATATAGCTCAAAATTTATGATCGTCATGTAATTAATTATATTTTTGACCTATACGTTTACTGAGGCTTAGGAGCTTAAAATAAATTTAAATAGTTCATAAAATAACGAACACAAGCATCAAGAAAATTCGATATCAAAAAACTCTGATTCATCAAATGTATGAACTGACTTGTCGTTTCTAAATGACTTCCCAAGACAGAGACATGTATAATCATGAAAGAATTAGAATATAGGTAGCGTAATTTGGATACATCCTCTACATGAGTGTAATCTTCTGGCTTATTATGATTTCGATGTTTAATTTATAAATTCAGGAATGTACGAGTTTATTTTATAGAATACATTGTTATATTCAATTAAGAAAAGCAAATCTTTTTGTTTGAATAACCTACATCAAGGTTGCAGTAAACACATTAGTTTTCTGAAGAATTTTGAATGAATCGAAAGGCACTCTGGGACTTTTGGTCAGAGGAGGACATCAACCTTGAAACGTGGACAACAGATGAAAAGACTAAAACAGGCGATGCCACTGGAAATAAGCGCGCACCACTGAGAAAGGCAATGCAAACTTTACCATTCAATATCCAATAAAAACTATTTCTTGGTTTTTTGAAATAACATGTAACAGTAAGGATGTGTGAACTGGTTTTTTTCATAACTAACAATTAAATAAGGAATTTTGTAGTATCACATTGTTTGCTGATTCATTCGCTTTTACTGACTGCGATAAATTATCATGCTTTCTGATAGGTCAAGAAATAATTTAGATAAATAGGAGTCAGTAGACACATTTTAATATTTCTGCACAAAGCTGACAAAATTCAAGATGAACACCTTGCAGCAACTAAACTAATGACGCTTGTGTTTACTTAAATTTAGATCTACAGTTGTACTTGTTTTACTTCAATTTTGTGTTATTCCTGAGTTTTAACTTCATAATAATTTGTTCAGATTAGAAACTCAGGGAAACAATTTGAGGACCCAGACGGTCTAGGATTCCTGACAGAAAAGTGCCACTTTACCAAATGTGACCGTCTCAGTGACGTAACCAGGAATCCGGTAGGATAGAACGAAATTGTGACAGTTTACTTAGGTCATGGTTGCTAAGCATCCTTCTGAGTATGAACTGTTTGAAGCCTACCATTCGTTGCCCGATACATCGAAAGAAATCTTTTTTAACATTATGACTGACCTGTCTTCAGTGGTAGCAAATAACGAGTAAGAAATTTTAATTCCAACATTTATTTTTCAAGGTGTTGCCAATCGCCTTGGTTATGCTTATATCCACAAACTAGGACAAAAGAAGGCAAACGTCTGCCTTTGTATAACCCAAATGGAAAATATGCAGTTAGGCTATTTTGGATGGTAATTATTTGCAAAACTGATTGAATTTAGGGTGCCTGGAGACGCATTGATATCGACGACCGCATCTTACTTGATGATGCTAACAATCAACTAATTCCTGGACTAACTTCCGGAGAACTGTGGCTTCCGTTGATTTGCAAGGCTCTAGCAAAGATTGCCTATTTTGAGTAAAATTGTTAATACAATTTATTCGATGATAGGCCCAACTGTTTTTCTGCATTTAGCTGTCTTACTGGCTGGCCATCGCAAGTAGCATTGTTGGAGTAAGGGCCCTGTTTTGTAAATTTTCGTGTAGCCCAATAATGACTAATGAAACATGGACGTTATTGACGTCGGTGCTGCGAGATTGGCAAGACTTTAATAAAAGCAGCCCATGCACTCCAAGTAAACCCAAAATTCAGGATGACAGGAATGAACGTAAGACTTCATCACGACACAATTTGCCATCCAACCAAAACCAAATATCACCTGCCTTCGCGTCGCCAGTCGCGTTTGTCGAGATGTGGCGAAAACCAATGGAATACAAGATGAAATTATGTGAAAATACGGTAAGTCTGTCATGTTTAAGTCCTGAATTTTGATAAAAGTATTTCGAGAGGTGAGAATGACAACCAGACCTGAAAAATTTAGCAAATGCGATTGTGCATATTACAACTCCCTGTTTTTACAACTATTCCTGTTCATCCGGAAAAATTTGTGCTTTTCTAACATCCAAGAGGAGTGTCGTTGAGCAGGAATTTCTTGAGGCCTTGAAACGCACACCAACCAGAGCGCTGCTGAAGGCTCTTCGACGGCAGCTACTCGTTAGTGTCGAGGACCTCCCACCGGTTCCAGCTTGGAAGAAGGTTCGTGGACCACCCCGATCTCTGAAGGTGGACGAGGAAACTGAGCCTATACGCGCTGTTCTGCTGCGTTTACCTGGGGAACAGCCCCACAGGTAAGATGCAAACATATTTTACATTAGCTCGCTATTCTGCATGGGTAGTTAAAGGAATTAAAACTATATCTAAATGAAGTGCTTTAAAAAATGAGTAATTGGATACCATAGATACTTTGAAAAATAATGACTCAAGTATTTTGGCCATCACTTAAGCATTAACAAGACATTTATAGAATCAGTGATGTGATTCCCTCGTAAAACATTCGCATACATGATGCACATTAAATAACTGTTTTCCGTGGTTTTTAAAGCACGTTTGTTGGTTTTCTTACATGTTCAAATTAATTAAAAAGCAGATTGAAAGAGCAAGTTAACTGAGGCGAATCGTGAAAGTGAATTAATGCAAAATTTTGAAATCGTTCCTCTGATGAGTATAGTTATTAAAACCGGAATGACTCATTCCCTAACCCAACACCTAACGACATCGATGATTGGTCCATGCCGGTGTTTTGATTTCCCACACAACTAGAAGCATTGCCAACGACATGAGGAGTACATGAATACTCCAGTGTACGAATGAGAACGTTGTTTCGATTCTTTGGGCATTAAATTAGAAATGTTTACACAGCAAAAAAATTCACATCTGATGGGTCGAATTCTACCATGTTCGATTACTTAGCGGTCGGAGGCTTACTTAACACACACCACAAATGTGGTTATCCAAACATACTAACTACTACGCGAATTCAGTAGCTAGTTTTTCATCGATTGCAGTTTCTTTGTGATTGTAGCAAAACAAACGGGGAGTTGGCCACGGAAACACAACGTGCATCTGACTCCACTGCGAATAACGTAAGTCTAATTTCGTGGAATATTTACTTGACTGCTTCCTCAACCGAATTCATCACAGGATCAGTGGAATACGGTCAAATGGAACTCCAATAAGATGCGCAATATCCAAATGTTGACATCACTGAAGCATTATAACACACCACGGAAAATAATCCTTTTTTTGTCTAAATTCACAATCCCCTCACGAAAGTTGCCATTTAAAACATGGAACTCCAATAAACAACAATTTAAAACTATTTATTGGTATTATAGCGTGGACCCCCGATGGCAGGCATTGGTAAGTATATTTCTGCGAATTTCAGATTCATGAGTTACGGAATAAAACTAATTATCTGCCTTTTATTGTAGATGGCTGGTTTGATGTCGAAGACTTGTGCAAGCATTTCAAGTAACTACTATTTGCAAAAAAGTAGTCAAATCAATTTGGTGGAATAAACCCTTTTTATCGATTTTCAGTTTGCTGCGAATTTTCTTCAATCCCGAGACATTGGCCTATTCGGAAACAATCAATGGAGTCAAAGTAGTTTTAATTTTATCTAGTTGTAACCCACACACACACCTTGAGCTTCTCGTGTTAAATTGGGATCATATAATATTTTTGCAGAGTACTCCGAATCAAGTAGCGTGTTCTGACGAAAATTTTATCTTCGTCGATAGTCTGGATGAAGTTGAAATGATTATTGATTTTCAATCCCTACATCTGCTGTCTTCATCTACGGGATTAATAAATTCTGGTAATCTTTTTCTTGTTTTTCGATATTTCCCATTCACAAATAATTCCCAGTGGTGTTTCATAAAGCCACTTTTCAGCGGTAGTTTAGTAATTCTGCCCTCAATTTTTTAAACTACTTAGTAATATTGCTCAAGCTTCATCCGAAAGTGTTGCTGGAGAGAATAGATTCAAGATGCATAAAATATATGTTCTACTGAAACAATTCAGTAGACGTGCTGTACACACAATCAATTTTCTATATGCTGTCGCTTGAGTGTAGATGCACCTCAGCAACAAGACCACGGGAAGCTTGTAATTGAACCGGCAACCTGGCTGCTTCCACATCGAACAGCCCCTACCAAGACACTTTCCACGGGAGCGCATATTTCGACACCACTAAGACTGCAACCAGGACGCCATTGTTTCCGTATTTTCGTTGAAACGCCAATGGCCTTCGCCCTTCACATATTTGTTCCTTCCGCCAATCGCGAGCGAACGAAGTTTGTGATTGGACCAATCGACGTTTGTTTGCCCGCGACAACAACGCAGCCACTTCGGCTGATCGACAGCGGCCAGAAATTGCTGGAAACCTTTTGTAAAGTGGCCAAAACCTTGCTAGAAATTATTGAAAAGGAGTTGGCAGCGGAGGAGGAGGACGATGTCACTTCACCGCATTACTACGAGGAAGTCCGAAATTCGCTGACTCATTGTGCTAGAGAACTGTTTCCTGGAATATCGACTAGAGAATTAGAAAAGGTAGTAATTTTTTGGGTAATAGAACGTCAACAAAATTAAAAATATATTCATTTCGATCAGAAAAAACACATCAGTGCACTCACGTTTTGCTTCAAGAAGTGTTTATTTCTAAATTGAGAGGCTGAAGTGGCTTATTATCGAGTCTTGGTGCATTCTAGGCGATTTACAGAAACCTTTCGAATTCGATAAGCCGACATCAGGACAAATCTGAGCCTCTGGATGCTGAGTTTGCGTGGAAGGCTTTGCTGAGAGATCCATACGCAGTTTTAGGGACTGAGTTGTGTAAGTCAGCGATAAACCGCAAATACCTCTACTTACAACGTTTAAGTAGCAACGTATTTAACAGTTGATTGATTGCACTTACCTGTGGTAAAAGGACACTACTACCATTTTAAATCATGATTTGGGCCGAGCCATTGTTAGGTAACAGGGTTTGATTGCCGTTCAAGCTATTTTCGCCTCTGCAACAATTATTACTACTACCAAATTATTAAGTAGCTGAAAATAATGAAAGTAAGGGAATTTTGAGTAGATTAAAGTGCGAAGTTCAGCTAAAAAGAGAACTTTAGCCCACTGCTTCCACGAAACTCCTCTGAAGGCCAAAACGAGATATAAAAACGCGAGAAAAAGCGACATTTCGATATCTCATAACAGTGGGCTTATTAGTTAACTTTAGAAAACACTGGAGTGCTTAAGCTGACATCGAAACAAATATTAATTTAATGAAGCTGTCAATGGAATTTGATCTTTTCTGCAGCATCGCTTGAAACCCACCAACAGGAACAGTGCAGGTAAGTTCGTGATCGATAATCTTTACCGTTTCAGTGCTGGGGATGAGAAGGAGGTATCGGGGGAGGTTCTTCGGGGACTCGTCACAATTCAGGCTGCGTTTCGTGGCCGTTGGACGCGACGCATCTTGAGAGCTGGCAAATGTCCTCTGCCGGCGCTACGTATGTTGCATTGGGTCTCCCTGATTGGCTTAATTTGAATTCTTGCCAAGCGATCAGCCAATGAAATTCTTGCGCAATTAGGTTCAACGAGATTAACCTTGAGGCTACGTTAGATTAAATAAATATTTACAATGTGGTCTAAGATGAGACGAGGATGCCACGATTAGTTCATTAAAACAAATGATTGTTTTTGGTTTAATTACTTCCGCCAAAGTACAGCAAAGTGAAAAAACGATGATGATCAATTTGACACTGGGTCAGTTTTGTACAATGGGCTAAAATTGGGTAGAACATCGACAGCCAATTCATCACAGCATGTTATCAACCACATCGATTTTTGCATTGGTTAATAAGCGAAGGATGCTTGAGCCAATCGGAAGGGCCCGCGTAATTCAAATTTAGTGACTTCACCTTTACCAGGCCAATCAGATCCCTCGGACTTGGATCGGGCATCGAGGGAAATGCGGCGTCTCCTCGTGTGCCTTAAGGAGCCCAGCGATGCGGAAATGGCAATTCTAATTCGTGGCATTCTTCAACAACTTGGATGTCCACATCCGCAAGACGATGCCAACTTCGTTGCTACGACAACCCATGAAGGTGCACTGCGGAACACAGGTGACAGCCCAATTGGACGAATATGCACATCTCCACTGCCCCACACCCAATCTGCCACAGAGAAACATCATCTGGGTCTATTGTTTCATCAGACTTTCGCAGTTCCCACGCCATCAGACGGCCTAGTTCAAATGAGGACGCTACTGGACGTACACCAAGGCATTCCCAGTCTCTTCGTTGTCAACAATGACTCAGGTAGTGTCTGTCTTTGGCGCCACATTTTGATTGGTCGAGAGTGCATACTTAAGCGAAACCATGCCCTAGCAACTCTGCTGTAAATTTAGGTAACGTGGAGGAGGTGAGGCTCGGAAAATGGAATGATTTCAGTCAACCGTTTGCTTCAAATAGCTTCGGGTACACTCTGGTTGGGCTGTTGCCTGAATCCACACCGGGCACGAAATGGAAACTGAGTTTCCTTGAAGAGGGGTGGCGTGGAACGCGCAGCGGTTTGGTCTTTTCCGCAATTCGTACTCAGTTCTCATTTTGGGAGTTAACTGGACCTTTCGAGGGAAACCCGGATGGCCTACTTTTTCGGTACGATTTACAAGTAAGTTCTGCAAAACCAGCTTTCACTTTGCCATTACAAACGAATTGCTAACCAATAGCAGGACTGCACCAATTTGATTGGTTAATTACAGACTGTCGTCGTACCAATCAGGGCTTGGGCGGATTCATTTTGGGTGGTTTGGCGGGAAGCAAAGAGAATAATCTAATATATATCTGTCACAGATCACAACGCGTCAAGTGGTGACAGCTACTCTCAAGCTCTCCGGCCATTCCACGCCTGCCATACTCGTTGTGCGTTCAGAACATGGAGAAGTGTTGCATGTTTCGAAGGAACGTCCAGGTGAAGCAGTGTTGCCAGCCTTCCTACTTGGACCCCAGTGGAAGAAGCAGGTCGACGTGGAAGACGCCTTGGACGTTGTCTCGGAAGCAGCGCTTGGAGACGAGTCTAGTGCCACACCTTCACAAGCTATCGATTCGTCTAGGGCTTCAAAGAAGCCCAAGTCGATGCCCGCTCAAGTGAGTGGCGTTCAAACTTTTGGAGCCTGTTGGAAATAAGGACCAACGTCCACCACGCAGATGGATCAAGTTAGTGTAGAAAATACCACAGCCAATCAAATTACAATGTCCTTGAAACATTTCCCGTGACTTTCAAAACTAAACTCTATTCAGATTTTGCCTGTGCAAACAAGGCATAGCTAAGGTTAAGGCCTCATTCCCCGTGTTTTCGATCGAAAGTGGTACAGCGGGTCCTCTAATCACAAGTCACCAGCTCGATCAATATATTTTAATCGATTTTCCTTCCAAAGGCGTTCTCAGCCTGGTGGCTGGATGGTCGTGTGTCGCACAAAGCCTTTCCCATTGGTTACATGCATTTTTTGAATCTAATTGACGGACAATTACACTGTTAAGGCAATAGTGGCCATTCTTTGTGCTCCAATGCTCATTAATAAACATAAATTTAAAAACTTTGCAACGTTAATGGAACAAATATCATTATTTCCGTTTCTGGAGCTCTGCTTTGCTAGTTTCATTGGTTCTACCGCTTGTTTAAATGATTGTCAAGCCACCCGAAGCGCGATAATTAATTTGACTTCTGGAAATATCTGCATTCAAATCCGATATCATTTTTTATTGAACTGATATGAGGATTCAACCCCAGCACGAGGACAACAGTTTTAAAAATAAATATTCGTAAATAATCTGATAATGCACGTTAATGACTTTCATTATTCATCCATAAAGCGATGCTTCCTTGTCAGTTCCTCATTTCTGCGCAAGATCGATGTACATTGACCAAATGTGTCTGTTGCAGAGCCGCGAATTTGCCACCGAGGCTGAGCTGAAGTCGACGACAGCCCATGGTGACGACCAATCGATTACGTACACAATTGAAGCCTACGCGAAAACTGAAAAATGGCCGCTCAATGAAGAAGAAAGACAATTTATTGCAAAGATAAAAGAGGCAAGGAGTAATGAATTAAAAGGTGAGCGTTAGACTACGTGATTATATGTCTTACCCGAGCCAAGACTTCAAAAGTCGCCGAGGGTTGACGACGTAAATAAACTACTACTTGTAACTATTAAGTACACAATATATGTGACTTAAAATGATTTGCTATATTTACTAGTCAATTCCTGAGGCATGCATTCTCTACAACCTAGTTGACTTTGAGGAAGCGTCACTTGCACCCGCCGATGCAGAACGTCAAAAAGCATCAGCGAAAAGAAAATCACCCGGGCGGAAAGAAATCCACGAAGTCACAAAATCACCCAGTTGGACGTGCCGGATTTATTGTGATTCGACCAATCAGGTTAGCGTCCTGATTTCAATTTTCTCTTACCATGGCACGGGTGTTTAAAGAGTTTAAAAAGAGCTAAATTTAACTTTAAATGCAGAGAAAAGATCGCGTTTCCAGTCCGAATTCTTTAAAGCGTTTGTGATAAGTACTTAGCCTAGGTTAAATTAAGGGCGAAAATCGAGTTCTAAATTGGACATTGTTGTCTTCAACTCATGATATTAATGTATCATTGTTGGTTGTTAAAGCAACTTTCATCAAATGTAAGATGACCTCTGTACTTCTCTTAGAATCTGACTAAAATCTTCAATTTTTATCAGTCGGTTGAGATTTGCTTAATCGATTATCTTGCATTCGGCAAATTTGGTCATTTAAGGAGGCTCAATTTGGTTAGATTCACAAGAAAAAATGCAGAAAAACCAGTTGGAGAACAAATTTCGCTGGACCATTTTAAAAATACAGCGACAAATTAAAAACACATAGATTTGAAACAAAGGTTGTGTACATTTCCGGCTTTACCCATTACAAATTAGTTTTGGAACGAATTTTAGTCCATGATATTGCTTTTTTGACCACAGTCCGATCAAACCTTAAAACACTGCTACTGACTAATTGTAAGTAGCGCTTTTGTGCTGTTATAGTTACTCCAGTGTTTTTTACGGTTGGCTGAGTATACCACCCTGATCCGGATAATATAACTAGGTATAAAATTTTTGGTTTACCAGGCAAATTTCGGCTAACTGTTTTTTAAATGCTTGAGTGTTTTTCTACAAACTGTAGGATACTGTTCGTTTGAAACCTCATGGACCCACAGCTTCAGAACTGAGGTCGTTAAAGCGCACCTGGTTCGCTAACAAAGGAGGCAACCGATTGGAGGAGGGCGTCGAAATTCGGCAGGCTTCGATTAGTGCGCGTCAGTTGAGTGACACCTGCAACCAAGGTACTCTAATTATCCTTAATTTATTGCGCCATACCTCGGATAGAAGTGACCTTTTTTGCGCGAATTCACAAGAATAAAGTTGCTGCTACGGTTTGGTAATGTTTTGACGACAACATTTTAGTTTTTCCTGTTATAGGCATTTGAAATTTTGAAAAGCCACGTAATTTACGACATCGATTTTTCAAAATTCCCGCCAGGAAGTTACTTTAAATGCTACCAATAAATCAATAAAGGGATGTTTTCCCACTCCTTTTTTATCGCACGTCGTCATCTTGATTAAATTAATAATATTTATTTTTTTAAAAACAACGGAAGAGTTATTATTGATCGTTCAAGGACGAGTTGCTTCCTATGGCTTTGAGGCGAAGAATTATGTGTTCTAGGGAGCATCAAATCAGTTGTACCTCCTCCATCATATGACGAAGAAGAATTTGCAGAATTCCAAAGTATTTTCAACAACGATCGCGAGGAAACTGGATCGACCAGCCACGTTGAACCTTCCACGGCGGCAAAATTTGAGACCCACGACCTGCACTTGAAACATTGTACCGAAGAAACCATTCAACGCGACATCGAGCACATGGTGGAACTGTCTGCCAAGAATCAGGTAAATTTGAATGATTGGTGATTTTTTTGTGTTCTAATTAAACAAAGGCCATTAACGATGTCGACTCTAATTGGTCCAAGATATAGCAACGTTGTATTATTGGTTCTGAGAAAATAAACTGTATTCTAAGAATTTTATGCAAAAATTTCTGATTTTTTTCAGGTAGGTGCCTTGAAATTGCGCGAGCAGTTCATCAATCTGTCTACACCGACCATCAAGGAAGCGCAATAGTGAACCGCACTTCCTAATTATGGGAATATCTTAACTACCAACAATTAACAAGTAGCATTTATTTTGTTGTCTGTCCGCTAATAGTGTAACAAATCTAGCTTAATCAAATATAGCATATATTCAGAAAATATACTTTGCTAATAATTCCTACACGTGGTTCTGATACGGAATGATTACACTATGCGATAATTGTAATCTGGTCATTTTTTAAATTACACCAAAACTATCTAAAATGATGCAAGTGATGCGACAGCTATTTGCGCTCTTCTGCAAATTGAGTAAAAAGAATGATTACTTGTCTTTGAGTGTCAAGCGATTGTGGAAGTCCAGGAAAATATAATTAACACAGAGTGCATGAATTAAAACAACACCTCCTGTCGGTTTCAAACATTGTTCTAGAAAAACGAGACTGATTTGTGCTTTTTTATAAATTTCTTATTCATTTGAACTTTTATTATTTTTTTATATCACAAATTCAATTTGTTGGTGTTTACACGCTACTTATTGACCTCATTAACTAACATGGCTAAAAAATTATTTAAAATTTTTTAACTTCGAATATATGCAATTAGACATAAGTGCAATGAGGGCTGCTAACGTTAGCAGCGTTCAGCAGGTTTCTGTGGACAAATATTTGGTGAAATTGTTTTTATGGTCAATCCAAGAGTATTGCATAAATAGAAGCTTTCAGTTAAGCGCCTTTAATTTTGTTTTAACTTAGACGCTATTAACAAAAACCGACCAGTGATTGAGCTTGTCAGTGGAAGGGTCAAAATGTCTGCGTAAAGACATGTTGCTAAACTAGATCCATGTTCATGAGCAAGATTCAATCGAAATGTTTGACTTTTTTGAGGTGAAAATGCCTGTTTACAAGACATTTTTGTTTTTTTCTATTTACAGTTATACATAGTGACTTAAAGGCTATTTACGTCTTTAGTGAATTTATGAAAAAAAACATTAAGACTTAGGTTGTTGGCAAAAAATGTTTAGTGAACCCTATTTTATAAACACCAAAATGTGGGTCCTGTACTTTGATTAATTAGTACAATCTGAGGGCTACATAGAACCGTTAAAACAAGCAAAATTGCTTTAATTCAATTATCACAACTAACAAATTTCAGCAAACGCTCAGTTAGTAAACGTAAGCAAATCGATCAGTGTTGGATGGATTTTAATCAGCTTCTGTTCTGCAGCAATTAGAAATTAGTGCAAGGTTAAAATCAGACGTTTCACTCTGAACTACTGTCACATCCAATCAGATATTGCTAGCCATTAGAGAATGCACTGATGCACTGCTATTTCCTAAAGTTGTTTATTTAGGTGACGACTGTTATAATAATTAAGGTGAAATTACTCAGAAGTATATCCTAAAAATATTTGACAAAATGTAGGTCTACCAATTAAAGGTAGGGTAAAAGATGTTAAAGAATGATTTTTTATAAATTTCACACACTTCCTGTCTAATAATATATGAGCTAAGATAACCAAATCTCTAGCGTTATGCTAACTTGAGGACAAGAAATACTTTTTAACTGAATTTAATTTTTGTCATTTACGATTAACAGTTCTCTAGCGTTCATACTTTGGATAATTGTTTACATAAGAAAATATTAAGTGATGGGTTCTCCTTAAACAGTTGAAATTTTCCGTCGTTTACGTCTGCCAAAAGATTATAAGAAACTTTCTAATAAGTTCCAGAAATTTGTCAGAAAAATACAATTTTTACAAAGATGGAACTGTCTACCAACAAATGTTTTTCAATTGTTTTCATTTTTCAACAAATGTTTGATATTTAACTTTTTTGTAGCAACGCCTTTATTCCTAGGTAACAAGCCATATTAATTATCACACAATGTATTGTTCATCAAAAATGAATTTTTTCGGAATCTGAGAAAGGATCAAACGATCACAAATAACTAATTGTCAAATGTGCAATTTCATGTTATATTTTATTTCCAAGAACAAGCAATCCAAAGTCGAGTTTGGATTTGGTAAAACGTCTCTGTCACTAAACCACTTTTTAAAGACACTCTGCCACTTTTCAATCTGACTTGATACAAAAAATGTAATTTTACTACTCTGTCATAGCTCCGATGCTATTAGTAACGAAGGTTAGCGTCCTTCAGGCGCGTAAATGTATTTGAAATTCGCTTGTTAGTTTTAGAAAAAAAATATGAGCAACAAAAATCCAGAAATTGTTCTGGAAAGAACATTAGCTATATTTAAACAAGATGCATGGAAGAAAGAGGTGCCTCTTATTGACATTTTTATGGAAGAAGGCATTACTATTACTAATGTATGTTTTTTTTGTCCTTCATTATGAAAATATGCACAGAAAAGGTATGTGAAACTATCACCAGAGCAGGCTATGGAGTTCTATAAGCACCAAAAACACAGAGAGGATTTTACTCGTCTTATCGAAGATTTGAGCTGTGGAATAATTCTTGTGATGGTCCTTTGTCAAGACGGAATCACAGAAACTTGGAAGAAGATTGTCAATTTTAAAAAGTCCAAAGAGGCCGACAACGAAATGGCGCAGAAGTAATCACAAGTCTAAAGGTCATCTTAAAGGTTTTGGAATATCTTAGGGCGCCAAAAGAATAATTATCTATTCCACGCGAGTGAATCGAAAGCTGAGGCAGCAAGAGAAATCCGCTTCTTCTTCCCTGACAGTATGTTTGTGGCACATGTCAAGTGACCTGAATAGCTGTAATAGAACCACTGATGACGAAACGGGCTGCTCAAGATTATCTTGCAGAAAAAGTAAACCCAACCCTGCTGGCAGGACTGACAGAAGTGTGCAAGAGAAAGCCGAAGGATCCTGTGGTGTGTTTTCACCAATTACATAGACTTACTTATTCTAAAACACTTATCATTTAATTAGCAAGTGTTCAGCTTTAAAAACGGTCACATTGAACTCGAGCCTACCGGAATGCCCAGTGAAATTCCATGACAGTAAAACCGCAGTCTTACTTCTCTCACATTTCAGAGGTACTTGGCCGACTGGCTTATGCAGCACAACCCATATCAACCCGGAAGTAGTGAAGTTTGCCCTGGAACTGAGGTCGGTGACCATTACACAAAGTTGTGAATCTGACTTAAAAAAAAGAATCAATTCGTCATATACAAGAGGCCTTGTTACAACTCGTAGACAGTTTATTTTGAGGTGATGTAGTGTTTTACAAAAAAAAACAATGGCTACTAAAGAACCGTACAGGGCATAGATACAAAGCTAGGAAAGGGCGAAAAAAAGAGTCCGATTTTCTGTCAAATCGCAGATCGTATGGTACATTGGTGGTAAAAACGCTCAGGTACTTCATTGTGCAACGAAACATATTTGAAAGTTCAACACAATCACGCACACGCAGTGGTTACTAGAATCAGATGACGGGATGGATTTTAGCTATTGGCGGCAAGTCTTCCCCTAAAGAGAGCCGCCATGTAAATGAAAAAGACGACGCACACGAGGCAGTCATCCAGCAACCCGAAAGCGCCAACAACAGACTCGGGGAAGATGTCAAGCGGCGAGACGACGTAGAAGAAGACAAAGAGACTGAGAACAATGAGGCGCAAACGCAGGAGACACGAGATGCCATCGCCATCCAGTAGCGCCCTCACCCCGTACCGCATCAAAGCGGGTAGGTCACGCAACTGATCCAAGAACTGCAGCATATAAGTGTAAGGTTTGGGTTTAAACGGTTTGAAGTCAAGCGTTAAAGGCTGCTATTTGATGAAATAAACTCAGACATACTCACCGAAACGGGGTTGCCGGAATAGCGTCGATTGAAGAGGGCTATCTGCGACTCTACGTCCGAGCGCTCCTGTGTCGCATCGGCTTGGATTTCCTCGGGGGTGAAGCATTTTACCAAAAATCGCAACTAAGTTGAAAAAAAATCAAAGTCTGCATACGGTACAGACTGCCTCGAATATGGGTAATTAAAGACATAGAGGCTGCTTAAATCACAACTGCCATGAGCAATGAAACGCTTGGGATTGGCGCAAATGTCTGCGCAACAAATAAACCTCCTTGGAGAGCTTGATTGGCCAACAAAATTGCGAGTCATAAGAGGTTGCTCACCTGACCGCGGCAGACAGGACAGTTCGGCTGGGCCAGTGGTGACGTATGCTGCCAATAAGCACAAAAGCAACTCCCTATACAAGGAAAAAAATCAAATAAAAGTAAAAGAAATTGCAAATATAATGGTTCGTTTTTTAAACAAATAATAATTGCCTATAGTTTGGTAAAGAGAGAAAGGTAAATTACGGGGAGTATCGATGTCTTCACTGCCTCAGTCCGATATTGATCAAGAAGACATTAAAAACTACACGTGATATTTTCGAAGTCCAGCGTGATTGTTTACAGAAAACGCTGGCTTTAAACGAAGCCAAAATAACCGATCGAACCGTTTGTTTAATGTTAATGTCATGGCGGCAGTTAGTTATAAAGGGAACATTGAGAATAAACCGTGCAATGCAAATTTTGGGTTCAATTTAACATTCTTATGTTGGGCTGCGGAAAGCTTACAATTAGAACCTGAAAATTCTCTATAAATGACGCATTAATAGTAGGAGGACGTGGGCGAAACGAGGGGCCGGAAACATAGGTTATGCATCCAAACAAATCGATGACCATTAAATATTAACAGCGTACCGCAAAACTGATGTCGACAGTTTGTTTCGATCCCAAATGTGATTCCTTCAAGGCAAATTGGGCAGACATCTGGGGCTCGGGCACCGTCTGGTGTTGTTGCATCGGCTGAAGAGGAATTACGCGGTGCGCGCGACTGACGAACTTCATTTACGGCTTGCTCATTATCAGGATGAATTTGGGGAGTTCTAATCGAGAAACACAACATACTGTTGACGATCAACACGTTGCGAGAAAAACGTATAAATTTTCGAATTTTGGAGAAAATAAAGGAACGAAATTGTGTGTAGTTTTATGCAAGTGGAATCAGTTGATTACATCGAGTAAAATAACAAACACGAGGAGCGCTCGCAACAACCCAGAGCCAACGAAGAAAAGATCAGGATAATAGTTGCATAAAATATCAACAACAACATTACGCCAATACGGTTACTGCTAATTGCTGGTCCACGACACTTACCTGGAACACTGAACGAGGCGATGAATGACTGCTTGCACAAAAACAGCAATCAGGATACCTGACATAGCCAGGGTCAGTGAAATGCTGTTATCGAGGCCCGGGATGACTTCCATTATATCAAAAAGAAGAACAAGGGGACTAGTAATGTGACGAAAACTTGTTTCACACTGCGCTTTAATAATTCCTTCTGTTATAAGATATCTGAAAATGTCTTCTTTTAATTAACCAGGTTCAATTTAGTGAACTGTGGTGTACCTGATCTAATGGCCTTACTTGCGACTGTTCAACGCAAAACAAAGAAACATAAATATGCATTGAATCACAAATCGGATTCAAGAAATTATGAATGCGGAACACATTTTGCACACCAAAAAAGGAGTCTTGAGGCGCAGACATATTGGACCACCTGGCCTCAGCCAATCCTGTGTCTCTCTGTAAGGAAGATAAGCAGCCAACCAGATAAGGACACGACTGAATTACAGTATATAATGAGTGGCATGGCCAGCGTGGTGGACTCGGATGGAAGGCGCCTGAAGTATAGTTCTGGCTCATGATTGGTCAATAAAACCTGTTCTGTTGAACCAGTCTTCTTCATACTATGGCTCGGATATTCTACAGTAGCGACGCAAAAGGGCGCAGACATATTGGACCCAGCTGGCCTCAGTCAATCTTCTGTCTGTTTGCTTTCTAATTGCTTGCAGGGAAGTTACGTGGCCAACCAGAGACGGATACGCATGAGAAGGGGTATATAAAGAGCTGTGCAGTCAGCGTGCTTGACTCGGATGGACGGCAGAAGACTTATGGCTCTGGCTTTTGATTGATCATTAAAGCCTGTTCTGTCGTACCTGTCTTCTTCATACTAGGGCTCGGGTATAGAATAGTGTAGAATAGTAGTAGACGAGAGACTTTGCTCTTGTTGATTTGCAGGAAGGTCGCTTCATCCATCACAGGTTCCTTCGCACTTGCATTCCAGTTGGCTTCTACTGTCATTGTCATCGTCACTGAGTAGCCAATGCCTCTTCAGATGCAGTAGTCCTAATCCCGGGCAATGTCAATGGATCCAGTGTTTGGGACATCGGATGACCACCATGACAACTTCAGCCCCATTCACTGTGTTACGTTTGCCCGAAACAATAGAGAATACCACTCAAATAACGGTACCAGATCCCTTGCTGACAGCTAGAACCGACCTCCCACGCTAATACCAGAACAAGAACAGAGCTCGAGTAGAGAGCTTTATAA